ACCATCAGGGCAGAGACTCCAAAGCCCAACAAGTCCCTAAGAATCAGACTCTATGTCAGGTTTGCTTTAGCAGGTGGTGGTGGCTATGGAAGGATAGAGGAACCTACCAGAGGCGAAGAGGCATTATAAGAAGTTTAAGAACAAGACCTAAATGCTATAGGAAAAAAACTGAGAGCAAGACATGTCATGAAATGTGCTTTTTTAGGCATTATGCCAATTCTGAGAAGCAGAGAAATGGGATCATATTTCTGAATTAATATTTTATAGGACCCTTTGTATAATTTCAAGAAACTCTTCTACCTGCTCAGTAAGAATAATGAAAATCAGACTTTATTAGTTATTATTAGTTATTCTGATTTAAAGGGAAGAGGGTAGGAATCAATTTAATGACCCGGGGAAACACTGTAATTCTACAATACTTTTATTAAAATAATTTGATTTTAAGATAAAGAAGAAACAGATCAACAGACATCTGCCACACTGTGGTGAATAAGAATGTGAATTTTATTCTTAATCTTATTCTGTGAATAAGAATGCAATTTTAATCTTGTTCTAATTGATAAATGTGGAGCATAGTCAATAAAGGTATGTGTGTTTGGTTGCCATGGTCAAAAAAATACTAATATAAGTTTGATGAGAGGCAAAGAGACAATCAGAATAAATATAAAATTGACATATAATTACTTGATTAGTAGAATTGCATAGAGAATTATGTTAGTGGTTGACCAACTTAGCTTTGATAAACATATACAAGAGGCCATAAAAACAATTGCTAATGCTCAGACTTTGTCATTATTCTATAGGATTGTCTCTTCATGTCTCTCAGAATGAAAGTATGTTAGTTGACATCATCACAAAAACTTTGTTATAATTGTTGAGCCATTTCCTATAATAATTGCTTTTTTAGCCCTGAGGTTAGTTTTTAAAGCTTGAATTATGAATATTTCATATTATATTATTTTCATATTCCACGTGCATGCCTCATGCAAATTAACTTTCTTATAGCCTCACACTGACCTTTACTTCATTGAAGGAAATTAAATTGTAAAATGAATCTGCTTAGGAAAATCTTTTTAAAAAAATGTCTCTTTCTCTACGTTGTTGAGGTTCAGCAGAAGCCTTTAGCATTCCAAGTCATAAATCCTATTATATAATGAAATGAAAATCTAGTTAATTGACAGAAAATTAAAATATTTTGTTTGTCTCAGGATGAAAATGAAATAACAATGTTTAAAATATTGGAATATGGTAGAAAAGAAAAAAGTAACTACAACAATTAGCTCTTAATATTTTCAGGATTTCAAGATGCTTTTCTAACCATATACTGGACTATTTGATATTTTCCTCAGGCTGCTTGAAAATTGATGAAACACACACTGAAACAAAGGCATTTCAGTTCTGTAAATATCTGAAAATCCTGTATTTGTACTTCCAACAATATATTCATATATTAAGAAATAAAAAATACCTTAAATACCTAGAAACAAAATTTTGCATGTTACTACACAATAAAACTATTTTCTGTTTTATCTGAGAGTGCTTTCAGAACAGTTTTTTTTTTTTTTTAAGGTTTTATTTATTTGAGAGAGAGAGTACATGAGTGGGGAGAGGGACAGGCAAACTCCCTGCAGTCAAGTTCAGAGCCCACAGGTGAGGGGAGGCACCATCCCAGTACTCTGAGATCATGACCTGAGTTGAAACCAAGTCAGACGCTTAACCGACTGAGCCACCCCGGCGCTCCTTCAGAACAGATTTTAATCTCTGATGATTTCTGAGGAAAAGAAAAATACAGGTTAGGTATTTTCTAGTCACAAAATCTCAGCTGCCTCCTAAATTTTACGTATATAACCTTCTGATGCCTGGTGGCACTGATGTCCTGTATACTAAAGAAGGAGAAAAACTTTGGGTTTCCTATGCACTGTTTATTTTAAATTCACATTGCATCTTATTGTCAGCACTCTGAAATCATATTACATGGGCTTTACTTCCTTTATCTAAACATCCTGATTCAATTTTCATATTAGAGTGTTTTTTAATGTAACATCATGCATTGAATCGAAAATAGAAGCATTGGTATTTATTTTCACATCAAGAAAGTTTTGTTTGTATGCCAGGCTTCAAGGGAACACACCTATAAAGACAGAGTATATAGATTTTAGAATAATCTTGATAAATTATTACTTAGTTTAGGAAGATGAAGTCTGAGAGAGAGAATAACCAGCTCTATAAAATCAAGAGACCCAATTTCTTTTTCAGGAATTTTAATTTTAAAAGAACTAGAAGACAGAATAATAGTATATAAAGTCATGACATTCTCAAGCTTGTTGACTTTAGGGGGAGGAAAACAAAAAAATATATAGATTCTATAATTGTTTAGTAAATTCTGTGAATCAGTTACATGTAACATTAATAAATACACAAAACTCTTTCTCATTTGAGGAATTTTTCATAGATATTTATTTTCTATTTTTCCAACCTCCCTTCTCCTCCCTCCCATTCTGTCACAGCCTACATTTACTTCTGTATGATTCATTATTTTACTAGGATGTTAAATGCTCCTTTAATTTATGTGGCAAAATTAGAGGTTTTAAAAAGAGTATATTCATCAAAAACTTTGAAATGTATAATTGTGATTTTACATTTGATTTCAGAACCCTTCTTTTTTTTTTTCTAATTGATGTAAAATCTGGTCTGAATTACCACATATCCTTTGAAAAGACTTGAGCAAACAACCCATATCTTTGCTAAAGACTTAGCTTTATAACCTGGAAGAGAAAATTTAACCTCTATGGTTAAAACTTATAATTTAAATGTTCATTTTTTATATCATTAATTTTAACCACTGTTACTCATTCTAGTATTTATATGTAGCATATACAAAGTATGAAAGAAGCAATGAGATTTTTTATAAAACAAAATAATAAATCAGTGGCTCCAATTAAATTTTATTAAAATGATTCAACCAAATATTCAAAAATTAAGGTAGCTTCTACTTAAAAATGAATTTAAGAGATTAACATATAATATATGACACATATCCTCAGTATAAAAGCCAAATACCACACTACCTAAATGTAGTTTTATATAAAGCATAGCTTTCAGCTGAATATTGTACTATGCAAATTTTATCAGGTAACATACCATGAAGAAAGTTTCTTTCTCTCTCCCTTTCACTCTTTAATTCACCTCTGAATGTCCAGTGCTAACAGTACCAATCAAACACAAAGTGTTCAATAAATATTTGTTCATACATACAACGTGCTACAGAAGAAGGGTTGGCTATGCTATTACCTTTCATTACTTCAGGTAATGTAAATGAATAAACTTGTGGTTAAAATGTTAAGTATTTTTGTGTTTGCTTCCCCTTTATAGACCAATGATAATGAAAAAGCAAGGAAATTAAATACAGTTGGTGTCACATAGTGAAAATAAACTTAAAGTGTTTAAATTTTAGTTAATGTTATGGTTAAGTCTGAGCATTTTGGGGAGTATGTATCTTGAATGTGCTTTGTCCTGTTTTTGTTTTTGTTTTTTTTTTTTCTCCAGGTAACATTGCACATAATTAAAAAGATTTTTTTTCAGCTTTGTCTTTAAAAGAATATTTAAATTTATAATTTTCCAATATATTTTTATGTGGCTAAATGTCATTATTTACTTTTCTACGTGGGGTAAAATGATAAAAGACTTGGTAAGAGCAAGAGTTATCCCCATATTTATCCAAGAAAAGCTCATTGTTCTCAAAGGACACTTATTTGATTTTAACATAAAAATTAGGAAAATATATAATTAAAATATGATCTTTAAATTCTAGGAATATTCCCATTATTTCTGTTCACACACTAAAGTCAATATATACTTGGCACTTTACAAACATTTTTAAATTTAATCATCTTAGGATCACTGTAAATGTTTTACTTCAATATTATAAATGAGAAGTTGAAATTCAAAATAATTAGGAAGCTTACCAACATACTACACTTGATAAGTGGCAGAGCCAAGATTCAAATAAATATACGCTACATTCAGATAAAAGTATGCCTTTACTCTTTCCTGAAATGTGAGCTTTCCTCGTAATGCTTCCTTTTGCTTCCATTTGATTCCATAGTCATTTGTTGAGCTTCTATCATGTATAAAATATGAGAGTATGGGTACTGACTTTTGTCTATGAGCTTCAAGATACTCCAAATTATCTTCAATCCATTTAAAGATATTGGTTAAAAAAAATGTAAGCTGCATTACCTGTTGTTTCTTTCCTTTCACTTATGTCTAAGGTTTCTACAAAATTACACTTTACTATTAGATCAGTATCTCATATTAATTTTTAGTCTGAAGTTTTCCTTCATTAACCATACTTATTTGCCATACTTTTCCTTGCTTGGGTGTCAATCAAGAGGTGCTTCGGAAAATATCAGGTGGTCTACTTAGAGACCAAAATGTAGAGACCATAGAGGATAGAGGATTAGAATCAGAAATGCTGAGCCTTTATATTTAAAAAAATGTGTAAGGTAAAGATGCTCAAAAGTAAATGAATTTCTGACGCACACACATCTGTTTAGGTAGTCCAAGCATTGAGGTTCTCAAGTTCTCCAGCTTCCATTGTATTTTTGTAATGCCTTCAGCCAGTGCTCAGTATTGTCTGAACATTTTTACTTGGCTTTTTCACTTATTTAATTGTTCATTTTGTTTCCTGTTTGTGACCATGTTTTCCTTCCATGGATACAAGTTCTTTGAAGTCAGACATTAAGTTCATCAAAAATTCCTTCTATGTTTTTGAAGGGTCCCACTGAATTCTTTAAACAAGATATTGGAAAACTATTACAAATGAAAAAGCTGCATAATATTTATTTGTGGTCCTAGAACAGTGCTATTAAAATCAGCCCATGATTTTTCCAGTGAGATCAGAAAGCTTGTATATCAAATCATAACTGTGCATGAAGCAATCAGACTCTTTGAAAAGACACTTCTACAGAAAAAGAAAATACAAAGCAGCCAAAGAAAAATTAAAAATCACTTTCTTAGTTGGTTTTTGAAATGCATGATACCTTGTTTTCATATTTATAACAATATAAAGAAGTGAATTAGCATTAAGATCAGTGACAAAACACTTTAATACTTTCTATCCCAATATCATTCTAAAATAAGAAAATATGTCTGTGTGTAGTTTGATGACAGAAAGGATAATCAACAATCAGCAAGAGCACTTAGTGACCAAACAAACATTAACTGTATGAATGAAGAAGTTAAAAATATTTATTACTATGGGTGATCTGCAGTTTTTATATTTTACATTTCAACTAAAATAACATTTGCTACAGCCAAATGTATGGCATCTTTAAATACACACATTTACATGCAACACACATTTAAAATAAAATATTTCCCTAAAGCAGAGACATATATACTTATTACATACTCTTATTCGAATGATATAGTATTAAATGACTCAATGAGACTTGGAAGAAAAACAATCAATGGGGAAGTACTTTATTTACAGGATACAATGTAGCAGATGCATGAGTCTCCAGAGTCTTGGACTCCTTGTTTCTTTACCTCCTCTCATTTCTAATTCTTATCCCAGTCCTAAAAGTCCAAAAAAGAAACCTAACTACTTCTGGGATAAACCTCCTTTGGGCCTCATCCAAACTACTAATTGCCCACTACTTTAGTAGCAATTTCTGCTAGCAGATGAGAAGATGCTCCTAGTCCCAACCTTGGAGCTATATATAATATGGTCAGGTTTCTACGACTACTAGAAATGTGCTCCACTTACTGGGTAAGCCTCTGTTCATTTAAGTATGAACCCAAATGTGGATCCCATTTTCAGTTATCAATGTGGGTCATGTTTAACCTGGAAGTTCTACAGAGGTGAATGTGTCTTCCCCAAAGTTCCTGTTTCCGGCTTATAACTAGAAGTGATACATTGTTTATTCTTTAACCAGGGTTAGTAACCCAAGAACAATGATTGTCCTCTCCTATTATAAGAACCAGATCACTTCTACCCTCTATGACTGAGAGTGAAAGAGTCTTCGTTATTATGGAAAATGTGTTCTGAATATATGGATATCTGAACATTAACTTTTTTTACATGTAGAAAAAATATCCAAAGTAGATATTTGGTCTAAGTATAGACAATTTTGCAAAAGCTTAACTTTAACTCAAATTTACGGTCTTATAACACATTCTTATTACTTCTTTACTTTCTTTCCATTAAGTAGTATGTTTTTCTGATTATGAATGGAATTAAGTCAAATGGAGGCTTTACAGAATATATTGGCAGATATAGTATGTGTTGTTATAATGTTAAGTTTTGATTTCCATTTTTAAAATCCTTTGACACAATGCATTTTATTTTAAAACATGTACTCATTTGTTAGAAGTAAACATGCTATATCTTAAAAGCAGATTACAGGTTTGCCACCAAAATGAACACAATTAATTTTCTTTATAACCAAATGGCAACATCTGACTTTACATCTTGGAACTCCGTACAGGTGAATGAGCGTGATCGTCTTCTAAGATTTGTTGGTCTCTGAGGTCTTCCTTCTGTCAAGTCTAAATATATGTCAGATTTCAGAAAACGTGTGTAACTGTCTTGTTCCATAAGCTGATACACTCTGCTTTGCGCAGCATCAAAACTGTGTAGGGTAGGTTGGGTGATGCTCTTGCTAATGACTTCTTTGGTGTGAAAATCAAGGTTAACCTGGATGATAATAATAACAAAAAGTATGATTATGGTCAATTCACTTAAGTAAACACTTTTGAAAAACAAACACTGCAGGACTGATCCAACGTTGGAGTGGGCATAAAGCACTTGGTTGCTTTCGTGATTTTTTTTTTTTTTTTTTATAAGTCTAAGGATCCAGTGATTTACTCTGGGGTGACATTTCATCTGGCTCTTCTCTTCCTTTGCTCCTGGTCCTTCTCACTCTCTGCTGATTTAGAATAATGAAACATTGTAAATATCATTAAAACCAGATTAACCCATTTTCAACGTGGAAATGAAACTTCATAGAAATTAAATTATTTTGAATGAGGGCAAAGGGTGACTTGGGGGCGTATATGGGATTTCCATGCAGGGCTTTTGTTTTATCCCTGTGCTCTTTTCATTTTATTATGATGCTTTCTTACAGGCAAGTGTAAGCTAAAAATGGATATCTTTTAAAGATAAAAAATCCTTTAATGGTTTTTATCAGAGCACTACCACTATATCTGATTCTGATAGATGTTAAGTTTTCATTTAGGGTTCCTTCCTTTTCCTTCAGGGGTAACACTATACAACTAGCTGCTTTTAAAAAAAAATGTTTATAAAATTGGCCTTGGGAAAAACAGAATAATGCACTGAAACACAGAACAGATTGAGACTTATTGATACAAGAAAAATAATCATCATTCCATGTGAAATGATATCCACATAAACAATGCTACCTCATGGACATATTAATTTATAGTGAAACAGAACTCCTAACAGTGGTATACTACCAGTCCTACCATTTCAGCAAAGAAACACTATTTATTGAACACATAATAAAAATATAGAAACTCTATTTAAATTATTTTTGAGGGCAGTCAGGTAATATTTGCTAGTTGTATAATTTTATTGCTATAGTTTCAGCAGTTGTATCACACAATTATCTCACACTGTGTTTGCAGCCAAAATCACGACTATTTTTTCACTTGAACCATTGTCAAATTAGGTTTTGCTCATCTATCAATTATGAAATTTTCTTTATCCTATCTTAAAACAGAGGAATAATTATTTGGGGGCAATCAAAACTTCACATAGGTAGGTGAGCTCATGCTAAAATGGTACATTATACAAACTTTTTAATTTATCTTGCCTTCCTCACTTATAAAAATTGTTTTTATAAGACATTGCTTATGCTTAGGTGATTAATACGGATAAGTGAATGAATCTAAAGGCTGCAAGTAATTGTATTTACTCTTGGTCTAGAATAAAAATAACCCCAAGGAATGACTTCAGTTATACTTTAACTTTCATGGCGAAGCCTTACAATGCATTTTGTTCGTATGTAGGAATTTATATAAATATCCGAATTTGCTTCAATAAAATCTTGACCTTTCTGATAGAATATATGAGGATACCAATTTGATAAAGACAGAGTCTCTCAAAAATTTTTCAAGCAGTTTTAAATTTTTACAATTATCTTTACTGTACCTCTTGGGGAGCATCATTCTGTATAAATTTCTCATATATTGCTTTTGCTTTAACGATAATTTGTTGAGGGTCTTTACTTTTCTTGAAATCTTCACAGGCTATCCAAAATTCAATGTTTTCCTCACTGAATTCAGTTTTAAGGAATGTGGTAAAAGTCTTCAGTCCATCTACCAGGAAAAGAAGTGATATATTTTAATTATACAATATTAATGCTGAGGAATTGGACTATGTGATTTTCCCCCTCCAAGTATGTATAAATTCCAGTTAGTTAACATGCAGTGTGATATTGGTTTCTGGTGTAGAATTTAGTGATTCATCACTTACATACAACTTCTAGTGTTCATCACAAGTCCCCATTTTAATACCAACACATCTCTCCACCCACCTCTCCTTCTGTATTATACTACTTGATATTAAAGTATAACTGCAAATATTAACAGAATAGCTATGTCTTCCCTCTAATGCAGTAAAGAAACACACATCTGCACACTATATGTGAGAGACCTCATATAATTTAGCTGTAATCTTCACAATTATGTAAAGTATTAATCCTGTTGAAATGAGGCTGATTATCATACATAGACCTATTATACATAGACCTGAGGAAGAGGGACAAACCCCTACTCTGGACCTTGCTTTGGGTCTCTTTTCCTCAGTGCCTTCCTCAGGGATGTGGGGGCTATTCTATGGAGCCAAGAAACTATTCCACCTGGAGCCCATTCTCCCCTCAATGCCCCCTCCCCCACTTCTAGACTATGCTTCTATACTCAGGACCCTGGAATTCCCTGTCTAAAAGCTCTATGTTACCAGGTTTATACAGTCCTCTTCCCTAAGTTCATCGACTAAAGGCACTCAGACTCAAAAGTATGTGTACCCTTAGGATAAGACTTGAATTTGAAGGTTGAGGTGTCTACCCAAATATGCAAAGAGGACTTTCACAGTATGGAATCGAACCATGAGTAGAAAGATAAGGAAGGTAGGCATGTTGCTAATAGAACTGTGAAAAGTCTGAGAATTTTATATTTAAGCCTAATGGTTACACAGTACATTTATAAAAATAATAAGATGAAATATGTATTTTTAACAGTTTGTTAGCTTGACTTATTGCTCTTAAGCATTTAGATATTTAGTATGGGGTCTCCATTTTTACTTGTGTTCTGAGCTCCATCAATATTAGACATTGGTATCAAGTCTTGTGGAAGATGGCCAGTGTTCAAATTCATGTTTAGCAAGTTACTATGTAGTCCTGAGCGGAATACTTTTCTTTCTTTGCCTCAGTTTTTTATGTTATTTTAAAATTAACATAATGATGATACCTACCTGATTGGGCTGTTTAGACAATGAAAAACATTGATTTCTGGGAAAGATGGAGTAGGAAGACCTTCACCTTTTCCCACAGATACAAATAGATAGCATCCATATAAGTGTAAATAACCCGGAGAATGACCTAAGGCCTGGCAGAACAGACTCTCCACAGCTAAATGCAGATCCACAAGACTGTCTGCAGGAGGGAGGGACACTGCAGGCACAGAGAGGGGAGAGAAACAGACCCTCATGCCAGACACCCCAGGCTCAGCCACAATAGTAGAACACATAACACACATAGGAGACACCCCTGAAGTGATAGGTTCTCGGGAATAGAGAACTTTGCACTACAGGAAACCATAAGACTTCTTCATAAGACCAGTACTTTCAAGAGCAGATGTAGTGGACTTTCCTAAAACATAGAAACAGGCACAGACCATTAGACAAAATAAAGAGACAGGGGATATGTCTTAAATGAAAGAACAGTACCAAACAGAAAAATAGACTTAGAGAACTCAGCACTATCAAGTGTAATAACTTTTTCATTATATGAATCCCAGAAGAAAAAGAGAAAGGGGGGCAGAAAATTAATTTGAGAAATGATAACCAAAAAATTCCCAAATCCAAGAAGGAAACAGAAACCCAGATCTAGGGGGCACAGAGAGGCCCCAATAAAATCAACCAAGGAGGTCCATACCAAGACACACAGTCATTAAAATGGCAAAATGTAGAGATAAAGAGAGAATTTTAAAAGCAGCAAGAGACAAGAAAACAATTACATACCAGGGAAGCCCTGTAAGTCTATAAATTGCTTTTTCAGCAGAAACTTTGCAGGCTGGCATGATATATTCAAAGTGCTAAAAGAAACAAAACAAACAAAACAAAACCTGCAACCAAGAATACTCCATGCAGCAAGGTTATCATTCTGAAAAGGAGAGATAAAAGAGATTCCCAGACAAACAAAAATTAAAAGAATTCATGACCACTAAATCATTCCTACAAAAAATGTTAAAAGGAGATCTTTGAATTAAAAGGAAAGACCAGAAGTAGGAATAAGAAAAGTAGAAAGCATAAAAACAGTAAAGTTAAGTATATCTATAAAAATTGGTCAAGGGATTCACAAAATAAATGGATACAAAGTATGATACCAAATACCTAAAACATGGAGGGTGGGGAAGAGGAGTAAAGTATGAATTCAAATGTAAACAGCCGTCAACTTAATATAGACTGTTATATACATTAGATATTAGATGAAAACTTAATGGTAACCACAAATCAAAACAAAAAATAGATATGCAAAAAATAAAGACAAAGGAATCCAAGTATATCATTAAAGAGAGCAAACAAACCATGAGAGAAGAAAGCAAGAGAGGGGAGAATTAAAAGTATTACAACATGCAAAATATAAGTGATTCTGGTAAAATTGGATAGCTTTTTACAGAAGAATGAAACTCAACCATTCCCGTACACCATACACAAAGATAAACTCTAAATGGATGAATGACATCAATGTGAGACAGGAATCCATCAAAATCCTAGAGGAAAGCATAGGCAGTAACCACTTAGACATTGGCCACAGCAACTTCTTTCAAGACATGTGTCTCCAAAGACAAGGGAAATGAAAGAGAAAATGAACTTATTGGACTTCATCAAGATAAAATCTTCTGCTCCACAAAGGAAACAGTCAATGAAACAAAGAGACAACCCACAGAATCAGAGAAGATATTTGAAAATGACACTACAGATATCTTGATATCTATGGTGACTAATATCTTGATATCTAAGATCTATAAAAAATTTCTCAAACTCAACACCCAAAAAGCAAATAATCACGTCAAAAAATGGGCAGAAGACAGGAGCAGACACTTCTCCAGATAAGACATACAAATGGCTAACAGATACATGAAAAAGTGTTCATCATCATTAGCCATTAGGGAAATTCAAATCAAAACCACATTAAGATACCACCTTATACCAGTTAGAATGGCAATAATTGACAAGGCAAGAAACAACAAATGCTGGAGAGGTTGTGGAGAAAGGGGAATCCTCTTACACTGCTGGTGGGAATGCAAATTGGTACAACCACTTTGGAAAACAGTGTGGAGGTTCCACAGAAAATTAAAAATAGAGCTACCCTATGACCCTGCAATTACACTCCTGAGTATTTGCCCCAAAGATACAGATGTAGTGAAAAGAAAGGCCATATGCACCCCAATGTTCATAGCAGCAAAGTTCACAATAGTCAAACCATGGAAAGAGCTGAGATGCCCTTCAATAGACGAATGGATAAAGAAGATGTGGTCCATATATACAATGGACTATTACTCAGCCATCAGAAAGGATGAATACCCAACTTTTGCATCAACATGGATGGGGAGATTATGGTAAGGGAAGTAAGTCAGTTAAAGAAAGTCAACTATCATATGGTTTCACTTACTTGTCGAACATAAGGAATAGCATGGAGGACATTAGGAGAAAGAAGGGAAAAATGAAGGGGCAGAAATCGGAAGAGGAGAAGAACCATGAGAGACTGTGGACTTTAAGAAACAAACTGAAGTTTGTTTTTTTTTTTAAAGATTTTATTTATTTATTTGACAGACAAAGATCATGAGTAGGCAGAGAGGCAGGCAGAGAGAGAGAGGAGGGAGCAGGCTCCCCACTGAGCAGAGAGCCTGATGCGGGGCTCGATCCCAGAACCCTGGGATCATAACCCGAGCTGAAGGCAGAGGCTTTAACCCACTGAGCCACCCAGGCACCCCAAACTGAAGGTTTTAGGGGGGAGGGGCGTCGGGGGATGGGTTAGCCTGGTGATAGGTATTAAGGAGTGCTCGGATTACATGGAGCACTGGGTGCTGTATGCAAACAATGAATCCTAGAACACTACATCAAAAAATAATGTACTGTATGGTGACTAATATAGCACAATAAAAAAAAAGATTTTAGTAGTTTTGAATATATTCACAAAGTTGTACACCCATCAAAATAAAAAAAAAATAAAACATGCAAAGTGCTTAAAATGGTGACTGGCACATAGTATTATACTTTGTGGGTTTTGATGATGATGATGTTAATGGTCTTGATGACTATCATTTATTTAAGGCTCAGTCAGGTAAAGTTTACATAATTAGAATATGACAGAATCAGAATTCATCCCTAAGACAAACTAAATTTAAACTAGTGCTCATTCAACTTTTAATGATATGATACTTCTTTTGGCTTATACACATTTTTTTAAAAATTAAACCTTTATTTTGAGAAAATTATAAATTCATATGTAGGAGAGAATAGAGATCCCATGTACTCTTTATCCAGGTTCCACCAATGTAGCATTTTGCAAAAGTATACAGTTATTTTTGAATAGTACAGGGGTTAGAAGTGCCAACCCCCCACTGCATGCAGTCAAAAATCCACTTATAACTTTTGACACCTCAAAAACTTAACTGCTAATAGTTTACTATTGACAAGAAGTATCACAATTAACCAGTCAATTAACATATATTTCGCATATTATGTGTATGGTATACAGTATTCTTAGAATAAAGTAAGCCAGATGAAAGAAACTACTAATAAGAAAATCATAAGAAAGAGAAAAGGTTAGGTTAAAATCTAACGGTAACTACATTTAAAGTATTGTCCTGTATTTACTTACAAAATCCAAGAGTAATTAGACCTATATAGTTCAAACCTCAGTTGTTTAAGGGTTAACTCTAATAAAATATCACAAGTAAGATAATGACATACTACTATTTATTTACCCATTGAAAAACATAAAGAAGTGGGTTTTAAAAATTTATTTCATTTAGAGCGGAATTATTTCTTAAATAAATTATTTTGACAACCTTCTAATTAGTGACCCTTACTC